GACGACCTTCCATTAACATTTCGACTTGCAATCAATCTTCTACAAGTATCCGATTTCATTGTTCACTTAACATTTGAACTTGCCGGTCTTAAGAGTTTCAAGATTTTTCCACACAAGGGTTAAAATAGTTCTGCGATGTAAATACACACATCTGGCGTATTAGCAGCATTTTTGGATCTGGGTTAAGATAGTAAAGTAACATATGAAATGTATGTATTTTGCAGACCGATTTAGATTTATAGAACAAACATTGTTAAATTTGAGCAACCTCGTCGATTTTCGTCTATCATTCGCATTTTCTTTTAGGAGTGTTCAATTTCTACGGCATCGTCCAATTAACCAAGAAAACCCTACCCATTACAAGTATAATTGCTACTGATGAAGACGAATTAAGTATAGTGTGCAGTAAGTGTGTTAAATGTACGCATTTGCATATACAGGATGACTCAATAAGAACAGCTATACCATAAATATCCACGTCAAGTGACATTGCGAACTTCCGGTTTCGTCTTTTGGTCAACAGTAATGAGAACCGGTATTTGTACTCAACGAATTCCAAGCTTGATAAAATTTTGTCATGCGACTTTTAAAACTGATTATGTTTTTCTTTCGAGAGAAAGTTGATGTAAGACGACAAAGTGCAAAATATTAAATTAGTTTGTCAATAAAACGGGGACAAAGTCGAAGTTGTTTGGATCCGATTGTTTTCACTCCAGTGATGGTAATTTTTCCTAATGGATTCATATTCACGTAATATTTTTTTAAATTAATAGAACAATAAACAATGTAGGTGCGAAGTGATATTTGTTCATTTTTATGGTCCAGCCGGTCTTTTCGGCCATCTCATCCTCAAGAAGGTTGCACGCATGCATAACTAATGACTTTTTTCACAACACTGGCATTGTTTAAGCCTGTTTGGTGTTATATAACAAAAGTGACATACTCGTTCCTTAATGTGCGCAAAATTTTGTAATTTCACATAGATGTTTTATTTGTTTATTTAAAACATAGGCTCGACAAGAAAAAATTCAGCATAAAATAATGTAATCTAAGATTGCGAAACTGTAAATCACACGTAAAGCGACTTTGATAAGAAACTTTACGTTTATTTTTCATGGATGCAAAGTGTAAATAAATAAAAACACATTTATTCAAACAGAAGAAAAGAAATCCAGAAGTTAGTCAGGGAGTGTCAAAAGATTTACTTTGTAATGTGTATAACGATATTGATATGCTACTTGTAACATGAAATTGTATAGTAATAATGATTGTAAACAATAGCGAAACCATTGTTGGGGTCATGATTTTTTGCTCCTTCATTTATTCTAACGGTCCGAATGCGAGGTTTTGTGTTCTCAAAGTCGTAACAACAATTTAATTGATTCCCCTTTTTGTGTATACTTTTAATAAAGTCATTATTTCTCGCGAAAGAAAGCAATTTAACCGATCTCGCATTTCATCATCGCTTTTCTCAACAATAGAGCACACGCAAGATACAAATCTGATGAGGCGGAAACGACAAGATATATTCCTGCATAGGTGAACGAGTACCAGTCAAAGAAGTCGGTCGAACACTTTCTTAGCAGGAAACGTATCAGTAACCTCAATGCCGGCAGTGGGAACAATCCGGGGCCGGACTCTCTCGGCCACATGGTAGCGTTTGTTAAGATTAGACGGCTACTGACGGCCGAATGGACCAAGATGCGAATTTGTGTGGCTATTTTTTCGATCGTGAACTGGTTCAAAAGGTTTGGAGGAGGTTGAGGGAAATGAAGGAGAGTTTTGAGGCGTTGAGTGTGACAGCCGCCGTTGAGGAATCACACCCACTTCCGTAACGACGTGTGGGTCGTCCGGCGGACCACGAATTTTATGTTGTAATGTTATCGAGACGACACCAACAATAAAGAGAGAGTTGGGAAAAATCAATTGAGACAGATGGGGTTTAGGGAGTTGCGTAATGCGGGCGGTGCAAGATGGAGTTGGAAATTTACGACTCTTTTCACCAAATTTTCTTTATTTCGTCCACGTACATTTTCGATATAAACTTTTGTTAATTTCAAAGTCTGAATGTGACGTTGGTCTGTTTATCTATTTTTTTTGATTCATCAACTCAAAACAACGTGGGAGCAGAGAGCTGATTTTTAAGAAAGTGATGAAAGCACGTTACAAACGCTTACACTCCATTTCATCTCGTTGAATTTTCAAAAAGTGTATTCTTAGTGCACTTCTACACCCTTCGTTTAAATGTTTGCACTCTATTTCATCCTGTTATAGTTTGGTTTTTAAATGTGCCTGATTAGAGCACTTCTCCACTCTCTAGGAAAAATATTTTCCAAATTCATGTTTCTTCGTTTAAGTGTTGACAAACCCATTTCACCCTCTTATAAATATTATTTCAAAAAATCTCCACATCTAAAAAATATGTTTCCCAAATTTTATGTTTTTATCTTCATTGATTTTCAAAAAATTCTTCCTTAGCGAACCTCTACACGCTCTAGGAAACATATCTTCCCAATTTCATGTTGTTATTTTCGTTTAAATCTATACACCCCGTTTCACTCCCTTTTCTAAGAGGGTGAATAAATTTTTATTTAATATTTTAAAAAAACTCATCTTAGTGCACTTTTACAACTGTTAAAAAACATATCTCCCAATTTTTTTGTTTCAATCTTCGTTTAAATATTTATACCCCATTTCACCCTCGTGTAGATTGATTTTCGAAAAATCTTTTCTTAGCGGAAACGGCTACACCGCGTTTCACCCCCTCCCTCTAAAGGAGTACATAAGTTTTTGCTTATTATTTTAAAAAAAATCTCGTCCTAATGCAGCTTTACGTACAGGGTGAATATAAAGTATGGAACCAAGCGGTTTTATTTTTAATCATTTGCCTCCAGAAAATAATAATTATTATAAATTAAAGTAATATAAAAAATGTGATCGTATTTTCAGAACGAAATTTTGTTTTGTTTTTGAGTTATGCGATTTTTTTTTTGTCAAAATTGCAATTTATGTGAAAACATTTTTTTGAAAAAATTAAATATAATGCAGATAGTTGTAATCCTTTGAGTATAGCTTTTATGAGAAAAATGATTTTATAGTAAGTTGCCATTTAAAAAAATGATTTTTTTTGTAGAACTCAAAAACAATNAATTAAATATAAAGCAGATAGTTGTAATCCTTAGAGTATTGCTTTTATGAGAAAAATTATTTTATAGTGGGTTGCCATTAAAAAATTTTTTTTTTTATAGAACTCAAAAACAAAAGGAAATTTCGAAAAATTTTATTCTTGTTAAATTATCACATTTTTATAGTACTTTATCACTCATCAATTAGTTTTTTCAAAAAATAAATAGTTTAAGCAAAAAATGTTTGGTTCCATACTTTTTATTCACCTGGTATATTATATACTCGTATACAGATGCGCCAGAACTCGCGCCTCAGAGAAAAATGCCATATAAGGTAAGATACCAGGAATGTGGCAAAAATGTAAAAAAAAATTATTTATAAAAATTTCGAAGTTATAAGGGTTTAAATTTTGCACTTTGACTCTATTTAATAAAAAAAATAAATTTGCAAGTTTTTTTGCTATAGGCTATTAAAAGAGATAACAAGGAAGCTGTATCCTAAATTGTAACTCTGTTTAATGTTATTTATGGCTTTTATTAGCAAAATTTTTGTACCTTTACTAAATTATTAAAAACAAAAAACTCATGCCAAGTGCATCAGTATCATTAAATAGACATAGACATAGACGCGAGTTCTGGCGCACCCGGTATAGATGAAAAACCCGTGTTATTTTGTAGTGGGCACAAAATTATGAGAGCAGTGAACACTTTATTTTCGATTTGTTTATTTAATTTTTTAATAATGAAATAAGAATGAATTTAAATCTAGAAATTTCCTGTTTTATGATCTAATTAATGAGATACTCCTTTTCCCATCACTTTTTGCCACATCTAATTTCTTTCAAGCATGAAAAGAATCTGTTATTAAATTTTGATTGACGTCTTCTTATATGGGTATGTTACAAATTTTCCATAACTATCCATGTAATGCATAGCTTGTCTTTTAAAAAAATCTGCAGGATTGAAACTTTATGTTTTCAACACTCAATGTCACGGATTACCCATTGGGTGTAATTTGAAATTATAAATTAACACTTCTTTGGGTTGTTTTTTAGTTTAGTCCATTTCCAGCGAGACTGAAATCTTTGTCTTGACCACAATTTTTCCAGTTGAATGAATTTTCATTTCATCATGAGTACTTGAAATAATCCGCTTGCTCGAAATTACAAAACTTAACGCGATGTGTGGGCATCCATTTACACCTCAAGTTTTGTGACCTACTGCCCACCAACAACTCGAAGATGTAATGTTTCAAGGAAAGCAAGACAGTATCATTTTACAGCATAACAACATCTTGTATAAATATTATAACATCGTTTATGATATTACACGGTTGAATGCTTACAATTACTCGTCCGGATGTGTCCGAAAATTTGTAAACGTGACAACTTCCGGAACACGAAATGCAATAAAGATTACCTGTTTCCATTTTAATGAATTATCTGCAACGGTTTATGCTGAAACAATAAAAATTCGTCTTGTTCGTGAGGTTGCGTGATTTCGTTGTTTATCGAGGCGAGACGGTCGCTACATTTTCCTATTAGTCTCAATTACATGCTTCTCGTAATTCATGTCTGGTGTAATGCTGCTGCTTTACTCGATGTATCTGACATGATTATTTTAATTCTTTACCGACCAAATCCCATCTTTGTATTTTTCACGCCGGATTACAATCGAGAATTGTGTTACAGATCATTCTGCATTAATTTGTTGGGATGCCATTCATTTCAGTGTTCATTATTTATCTGTCAGTACTGATTATTGATTAGTTTATAAATTCATCGATTTGCATATAATGCTATTGTTAACGATGTTGAGCAATGCATAAAAGATGGATCTCTTTTCTCCGATTGACTAATTTTATGCTTGTTTCAGAAATAGCGAAGGTTCGTGCTAGTCTGTTTCAAATAAATGGAGTCAAGAAAGAACCTCTCATATTGCCAGAAGCTGATGGTCCCGTTACGACGCTCACAGAAAAAGTATATGTGCCAGTCAAAGAACATCCAGATGTAAGTTATTCATCCTAAATTAACCCAGGAAACTCTACAAATATTTTCAAAATTATGCAAACTTGAAAAAATAAATCTCTCAAATAGTTTATGAATGATGGTCATTAGAAGCACTTTTAATACATGACATCATATAAACGCAAGAGGAACATCTTTATTTTTAGATAAGAGCATTGACAAAAACAAATTTTGCATAGGTTTTTAATCAATCAATTTTCGAAGTAAGGAAATCGTCGAGCTCATCCTCAATTAGAATAATTCCAGACACCATTTCAAATCCATTCGCTGGCACACCTTGCGTTTCGATTGTGTTTTTAGCGGCCATAAACCTCTTTAATATCGCTATAAAAGCGTCAAATTTTGGTATTTTTCGATTCTGGAAAATTCCGGGTTTGCCTTGTCCATTGTTTGTTTAATGAATTTCTGTCGCAATTTTAATAACGTCATAATCTCCTGATTGCAGTTTAATTTCGTGGGAAGGATTCTGGGCCCCCGTGGAATGACAGCTAAACAGTTAGAACAAGAAACAGGCTGCAAAATAATGGTCAGAGGGAAGGGCTCAATGAGAGACAAAAAGAAGGTGTGTACGGATAATGTCACTTAACTAATTCTTTTGTATTTTTTTACCCACTTACCGGCGTTACGCAACGTCTTCAAGAGTCGTGTTGTTTTCTTAACGTCTTGAATTCTGTTGATTTTTCACGCAAATCATACTCTAATTGTCCAATTAACACGAGACAAGTTAATTAGTTACAAAAAAACAGACGTTTCGTCATTTTTGATTTTTTGAAAGTCATGCTGGCGCTTTTCCAATACTAATTCTCAGACTTCAGGTGTTTTAGTTCCAAGTTGAATTACAAGAAAAACAAATAGTTTTTTTAAATAAACGACTGTTGTCTGGAAATCAGTTAAATGAACTTATTTTTAAATTGGAAACTTTATACTAACGTTTTTTTATTTCTGAACAGCTACTCGGTCAATGGAATGAGTAAGTAAGCATTGAAACGTTGATGTATTTTACGTGTTTTTCCCACTGTTTTGCGTTTTTTCTAATTGGTGTTTTTATCACAGGAGGATCAAAACAGAGGAAAACCCAATTGGGAACACCTTTCAGACGATCTTCACGTTCTTTTAACGGTAGAAGATACCGAAAATAGAGCACAAATCAAGTTGCAAAGGGCAGTAGAAGAAGTTAAAAAATTACTCGTCCCAGTAAGTAGCACAACAGCGCGTGTCAACGAGTTTGTTGTTTCTGTGGAAAATTTTTCATTCAAATTTATTCATATTTACTGGTATTTTTTGTTTATCTAGAATATTAATACCATTTGAAATTCGCAACTTCTTTTCCATCTTGTTGACAGAGAAAGTTAAGATTAGTTTCACTTATAGAAGAAAATTTTGTTTTATTTCCATTTTTGAAACAATAGACAGGGGAGAGTTGTCCATATTGGACTAGTCTGAATTTTTTTCTCTCAAATTCATTGCAGTAACATCAGCAATAAAAAAAAATAATAAAAATTGTCGATGCATCATAAGCGAATAAATATAACTGGTAATGTTTTATGACTAAGAGAGCGAAATAAGTAATTACATAAACAGATTTGTTTTGCCTTTTGATGTTCTACATCTGGCAAACAAATCATGCGTTTGATTTTTTGTCTCGTCTGAAATTTTACTCTCAATTCCAGCAAGCCGACGGAGAGGACGAATTGAAAAAAAGACAGTTGATGGAGCTTGCCATAATAAACGGAACGTATCGTGACTCTAGTTCTAAGGCAGTTTCAGCGACAGGTATTTGAATTTTTTTGTAGATTTGTATGATTTTGATTGTGGTTTTGTTTAGCTTGCGATGATGAATGGCGGCGTGTGGCGGCGGCGGCGGCCGAAACGCAACGATTGCTCTCGCCGGCGATCCCCGGCTTAGCCACACCCCTTCGAACTCCCGCCACCCCACTTGGTGCTCCTCTTATACTTTCACCCCGTATGTCAGTACCAACAACGGCAGCATCCATTCTTAATGGTTCTGCCCCTCCAGGTTCCCTCTTGTCCCCTGGGGATCCTCACGGCCTCATATACACACCCTATGCGGACTACACGAATTACGCCGCCTTGGCAGCGTCTCCCCTACTAACGGAATACGCAACGGCCGATCATTCTGGTGGGTTATTCGCTCGCTGATGTGCGAATTTTTAGATATTGTCTAGTACTTAGATTGTAATTGTCATTGTCTGTTAAGGGATTATTATTCATATTATTATTATTAAGGAATGCCATCAAACTGGTTCGGAAAATAACGCCTAAATTTTTTTTTTGATTGCGTTTTTCTGAATCAGAGCATTTTTTGAGTTCGATGGCTCGTTTTAGTCACAATTTATTTTAATTACAATGTTTCTGTGATACTTGCCGCGACAGCCGGTTGTTACATGTACTCAAAGTACGTAAGTAACATTGAAAATTATTTAATTTTTTTGTATTGCAAGTCATAGCATCTAAGATTTATTTTTTATTTTATTATTGAGACTATGTACGTCAAACGTACTCATCTGGTCAAGCAAACAATAGTCAAATGTTTTTTATATAAGTTATTTACAGTAAAAACATTAACTTAAAAGTAAACACAGATCGTTATAATACAATTTTATGTACATATTTTTTAATTTTATACAAATATTTTAAAAATGATTTATAGTGTAGTGTGTATGGTAAAAGCATTTATTACGTTACCTTAAGATAATTTCATTTAAATGTACATAAAACTACGTTTGATATTATTTTCAATCCTTGACAAAAATATTTAAAAACGAATCAACTTAATGAATGAACAATTTTATTTATTTATTTCTGTTACAATATTGTAACAACAAAACTCGTTCAGTGCTTTAATTGTTTTTAGTAGCTACAAAGTAGTATTTAGTATTTTTTATATTTATGTTAGAGAATGACTGCATCAAAATTACAGCTGCATCTATAATTTTTCGTTGAAGCATTTAATCGGAATTTTGTTGTGTTCATGAAAAAATCTCCGCAAGTCGGTTATAGATGTTGTCTGATTTGGTGTTAGCATCGATTCCGTCACCTTTCAGGAGACTGCTTTAATTTCATGTACTTTAAATGCTGATTTGTATAGGTGCAGCGGCAGTAGCTGCGAAACAGCGCAGGCATTTGGGGCAAATAAGGGAGCATCCTTACCAAAGAGCTGGTGCTCTGTCATAAACCTAAAAGGTTAGTTACGTTTTGTTTTCTATTTCTTTCAGATGTTTGCCAGTCATGTGTGTCTCAGTGTGGAGTTATGATGTATCTATTGTAGTATTCACCTCGTCAGCTTATTGTTTTTATTTTATTCGATGATTATCGTCAGTATTGAGTGAATTTCATGCGGGTTGTGACACTACATACGTACAGGTTCAGTTTGCAAATTTGGGGAAGAAGGTCTTTTAGGTTACCACTTTGTCGTACCTCAGTGAAAGAACTAGTCGAAAATTTCAAACCTTCTTCCCAGTGTCAAAAATCGTAGCTTTTTTCAGTTATTTTTCATTTACGTATGTCTTATTGTTGTACGCGAAGCTGGTGGCTTCGTGCTCCATGAATATATTTAAGTAGTTTTATACATATACGTTTATATAGTATATTATATTTTTTGTATGTTTATGTTGTTGACTTGCGCCAATGTGGAACAAAATATATTTATATAAAAATCGATAAGTTTTTTATTACCCTTCAATGCAGTGGAATTACAAAAGTTTTTATTATTTATTAACTTCTAATAATGCATTAACACTTCTCCACAAGATTTCATAACTACTTCTAATTCCACATGGCCAAGTAAACTAATGTATGGTTGATGATAACGTGTGATTGTGTTCATAGCACTATATTAAAATGTTATTTGCAAATTAACCATTTGTACAGTTTAATAACAACGCCTTCTAATTAATTATGGTACATACACAGTAAAATTCTTTTCAAAAAGCCGAAAATCTTTACTATTTTCAGCTTCTAGCACCCGAATTTCTTTAAGCACTTTAATATAGTCTATAGAACACTCGCTGCTAGGTGAAAAATCAGTATTTTAATATCTTATGTGTATGTATAAATTGCTCAATGTTATGCCAGTGTCACACAATTTAAAACGCATGAGGTGAAGCCTCTAATCACACTGAACCAAGCATGAGTGACACTGGGATAAATTGTAATGATTTGTGCCCGTGGTATAGCTATGATACAATACTAACAAACTGTTTTTTCTTTTCTTTTCTTGTTAACCTGGTTGCCCGGCCTGTAGGCTTGGAGTGCTAACCTGTCACCTGCGCCACTCCACTAACGGAAACACCGGACCATCTGAGGTAGCGGTACGTCTAACATTACATCACTAACATTTTATTTCACTCCGTCATCGTGCATTGTGTACTAAAGAAAGGAAACGTAATCTTTGGAAGCAATAACATTGTAAGTGTGTTTGTTACGTCCTGAGCAAAATTACACGGAATCTCACTTTGTTTGTGCAAGAATCTCAATCCAGATCTGTCCGTAGAGTTTTGCTTGTTCTTTTTTACACACTCAGCATATTTTATATGCTTTTGAGAGATTGTGGATATTGTCAATATCCAGTTTTACTAATACTTGTTACAATTTTTCTGTAAAGTACAAACTTTTTTGCGTGCCAATAATGTTTAATCATGCACATGTAAAAATAGATTTTATCGCTCTAGAGAATTAGGAAAATTCTGTTAGGTGGCACTTAGTTATCATGTTAGTGGTTTTAATTGAATCTAAACTTAGTTGAATTGTACTTACTGAATTTTCCTGTTTTCAATTTGATCAGTTTATAAAAAAAAATTGCAATGTAAGGTAGGTATGTTTAAGTTACTTAAAGACGTAGATGTTATTTATGCAAAGGTCGAACAAATTGATATTATATAGGACAATAATCGATTCATTTTTATATATTTTGGAAATCAATTTCAAGCGTTGAAAAGGGCTCTATTTACTTTTTTTTAAGTATGAAGCGCGGTTATATTATATATTATTTATTGTTAATTTTTTATTTCTCAAATTTATTTAAGCAATATATGCGGATTCTCTCATATTTTTCCGTCCAGAATTTTCTCGAATTAAGCAATAAAAAATCGAATCATACTCATTTTAGTTCTAACGATAATTTTCTTTCTTTTTTCGTGCAATAGAGTTACATCAGACATGTGCAATTTTAGAGAAATATTTTATTGAAAAATTGTTTTCGGACATAAAATTGTTTTGCTGAGAGTACTTTAAAGATTTTTTTAACTATTATAAATATTTACATTATGTTGTACTTAGATTAGAGATTAATTTCGTTTTCTCAGAGTTTTAACTAATTGTATATTAAAACAGTAATCTATTAACAAATTTTTCTTAATTTTGTTAATCGAACTACTTTTTTGATATACACTGTTTATACTCAATTGCTAAAATTATTTTAACAGAGTAATAATGGCATTAATGAGGTAGCTTATCAAATACCTATTAATTTTATATGATTATGTTAAACTAGATGTAATTTATGTGTCATATTAATAATATTTAATGTTATTAATTCTTGTTGTACTTCATAAGCCAATTTTCAGCCAAATTATTGGCTACTGAGATTATGGTAATGTATTATTGTGCACCAGTTTAATAAATATATTAACTAAACGTTTTTGACGCTTTTCATTCGTCCAATTTTTTTCAAATTCAGTTTTTCATTTACTAACATCTAATCTTATTGATCTCAATCACAAAATTGAGTAGTTTGATTCGAAAAAAAATAGAATAGGATTCTTAAATGAGATCGAAACTATTATAAAGACTTTATTAAATAATGAAATAAATCAACTACTATCCATTTGATGTGTTTTTACTTTTAACGCCAATTCCCTCCTCAACTTATCCTTATTTTTAACGTACCATCTAAGCCAGTTTGCCACTACTGGATTATTTTTGTCTCCATGAGCTTCCAATTGTTGATAATAAGCAGAACGAATTATCTTCAAACACATACTACTGTGGTAAGGCAGACACGTCTTAGGGTCAACGTATTTTGCAAGATGACTGGAAACATAAAATAAATAAAAACAAAAAATTTGTTGTTTTTTTTTACCCCGTGACAATGCATCTGAGACGTCGCGGTAATGGACGCACAGTCTTTTTTTCAAAAATACTATTGAATGTAGTATCATTAGGGTCATTAAGCACTGTAATAAAAGTGCGTTCACACACATTCTCAGATTCATTTTTGACATCTTGATTTATTTCTTCAATGATTGGCATTCTTGTTGATCTGTATTGAATAACAGGGCCAGTGATTACTTTTTTCACTGTACGTTTCGTTTTCTTTTCACTTTCCATCTTTTGGTACTTTTCAAGTGATTTAAGATTTTCCAGTTCAGTGGTTTTTGCTTCCTCAAGTAACTCTTCCTGTGTCGGTATCCATTCTTCTTCTTTGGGTTTCTTGATTTTTTTCTTTTGTTCTAGATTTCTAACTTTGATTCTTTGCGCTGTTGCGGCTGATTTTGCAGCAGTGGACTTCCGGATTGATTTTCTTTCTGTAACATATTTGCTGCTAAATGTAATTTAATGATTGGTGACTTCAAACCATATTCTGTCGACTGATGTTGAGTTATTCTCATTTTAGGGACTGGTTTTGTAGGTTTGGGTTTTGCTTTTTGTTTACTAGGTGTAGGTACTGGTTCCTACAACATTTCAAATAAAAATACAAGCAAAACTTAATAATTAATTACTTTGTATGCTTTTGTCACTAGTCTTCGTTTCTTCTTCTGCCCTTCCTCTTCATTGTCTGAAATAGGTTCGTCATTTTCGTCTATGCTGAAATCGGAATCCACCACATCTTCTCCTTCTTCCTCCTCTCTGGAATTTAAATGTTGACAAACCAAAACAACAAAATATACGAAGCAAGTACTCATATTCCCTATCAGATTCAGTTTCTTCAAATCCACCATAATTAGTTTTATAAAATTCATCTTGACATTCTTCTTCTTCATCTAACAATTTTGCCATACGATTACCGGCATTTGCCCTTTTTTCCCGGTTTGCCATTGTAATCAAATTCTAGGTTAGATCAGAAAATCAAATACAGAAACAAGTTTATTGCAAATGATGCGTTAGAAAGTATGTGTTTTCTTCTAAGTTTTGCTTTTCGCGTGATTATTTTCTGAATTAGTTTAAAAACACAACCACCAAACACACAACTGTCAAAAATTACAAAAAAAAGTGAAAACTTTTAGGTTAGTATGTTAGTAACTTGTTCTACCAACTATCTGTGCCAACCATTAAACGATTAAAGCACTGTTAAACTAACGGCAAGTTTGTTCGATGCGTTTCATGTTAAAAAAAGATTTTGGCACTAATGAAAGAAGCATCTACAAACATACGTAAGAGTGATATTTTTGGAAGTGATAGCTCATTTCTTCTATTCTTTTCGCACACAGAGTGAATGTTAGTTATTTTTCGTCTTTTTGTTGGTGAACTTGATTAAATAGGGGAATTACTGTTCTAGTTCTTCTAAAGTAAAAACGATAACAATTTGTGCCAGTGTGGCAGCTGTTGGGAAGAGAAAACGAGAAAACTAAGATGGGGTTGCCAGGCGTCGCTTTTGGGGTTGCGGTGGTTCTTGGTGTTGTCTTGGCTGTATATCAAATTTACACTGGTAAAAAAAATACAGCTTACTGTCACACTGGTGACAAAAATTACCTGTATGAGTTCACACCTAGAGCTGAAACCCTTCCTGCACTTGAAGGAAAGAAGTGAGTAGCTTTTTTTGAATAATTGTAAGACATAAATACACTTTTTTCAGAAAAAAACGAAGAAATTCGGTTCCACAGTGTGTGATATGTTGTGAATCCTTCCTTGAAACAGACGCTAGCCGTATTTTACCATGCAAGCATAAATTTCATACTCAGTGTATCACCCAATGGCTCGAAGAAAGCAGAAGTTGCCCAGTTTGTCGCTTAGTCGTCTAAACATATTTTTGAATATCATTTTGCAGAGTACATAAGTTACTACCTTCAGTCTTTGATATTATAAATTGTTTTCTCAGCTAACAAAACTCAACATATTTTAGTTTTTATACAATAAGGATTAGTTACTTTTGTATTTTGCGAAAACATTTTGTTTTTTCGTAGAACTTATTAGATTTTTATTATTTTTAAATCAATTTACTGAAAGCACTGAAACCATGGCATAGCAAACAATAATTATTTGTGGTGCTTAATGAGTATCATGACAATTTTAAAATTAAAAGAGCAATATGTACAATTTTGTGCCTTTCAGCTAGACACTAGAATAATTAAATTACATTAAGATTTTTTTTTGTTTTTTTTTATGGTTTAAATGTAAAAAAATTAATGGACGACAAAATAATAAATTTTTGAACAATTTTTGTTGTTTGTAATTACCATCCAATAATAAATCGAGCAATAAATAAATAAACTCCTAACAAATTCAAAACTACGAGAAGTTTTTCCCGTGCGAAAATTCCGATTCATAAGAAAGAAGTTTGTTAGGTTATGTAATAATATTTTGATTGGACATTGACAGTTATTTGACAACAAATAGAATATCGTTTATCAACTTTAACAATCAGTATGTAAGATATTTTTAAGTAATTGTGGTTTTGGAAGAAGAACAGAGGTCAAATAACTCGCCTCCACCGTGAAGATATTTATTTTTTCAACAAGAAGATAAAATTATATTTGTAATAGTGTTGAAAAATTTTAGAGTTTGCAGTTAAGCCACGATGGTTTTCCAAGGATTTTCCTTCTTTGCCATGGCCATCGTGGGTGTTGGCGTCCTAGCTTACCATTTTTATAAAAACAGAGAAGCTTATTTTTATGAGAGCCCCCAGACTTACAACATTTACAACCCCCCGGAACTTGAATATCCAACAAACGACGAATCTAGGTACTATCACTCATTTTCTATTTATCTTGCCAAATGAGTATTTTAAGCATTCGCAAGAGGAAGGGGGCCAAAGTTGACACCTGTTCAATTTGCATGGAATCTGTACAAAGTTCTGCAGTATCGCTGCCCCGGGAATCCCCCTCTTCCGCCATTTCCCTGCCTTGCAAACATTTGTTTCACTTTAGGTGTGTCAAAACTTGGCTTGATATGAACAAAACTTGTCCAAACTGTCGCGCATTAGCCAATGGATTCTAAAGCATTGATAGGTTTATTAATTTTCTAAATTTATGTAGAGGGTGCTAGATTAATTATTGGCGAGTACCTGTTTTAGAAAACGCACAAAAGCATGGTGATATTTGACAAAATAATTGTTTTTCGGTTTGTGATATTTAGTTTCAGTTTGTAATAATCTCTAATAGAATATTATTTTGACGAGCAAGTGGGATTTATTTCTCTCTTGTAGATTGTGATAAAATGCATCTCGTGTATTTTTGTGTGAACTGTTATAGATAATTTTATTATTTCCTCATTGTGTCACTCACGTAATATTTTCTTGTTCATATCAATAGATTTGTTTACTAAATGTGTTGTTTTATTGTAGGTAGTTTGAAGATATTGATACAGGGTGATTCATATATAATAAAGACCCTAACCGATTTTTAAACGCAACCCAAAATACATTTTCAGATACCACTATGCGTTAATTGATGTTCTGTTTGAAATTTTTCAAACATAAATATACAACCTGTGATAGCTTTGGTAGTTGTTATAAATTGGCGTCCTACGGTACAGATACAATACAGATTCAGCCACAATCTAATGAATGACATCTCATCAACTATCTAAATTTTTCAAACATAACAAGTTTCTGTAAGAATGTATTTTGGGTTGCGGCTGAAAATCGATTAGGATCTTTTTTATAAATGACAATGTATCTGCATAATACAAATGCATAATTTTTGCTGATTTCGATAGATCTGAAGTGTTTTGCACTAAGAAACACTAAAGTATGAAGATAGAACTCGCCTATTCTCATCGATTTTATTATTATGGGATAGAAATTGCAAATGTTATGCAACCAACCTTACACTTGCAGATTTTATTTTAAATAATGAGTAAGGATAGACATAGGAGTCTTTAAAAGTACTTACTGACTACTTTGAGCCACCTTTTGTACTCTTTTGTTACTTTACGGACAATTAAGTACGTAAAAAATATTTTCGGATTTGTTTTTTACTTTTTTAACATTTGTAGCTTGTTTTTTTAATACAATTATATAAGAAATAATAGTATAGTGCATATATTTTTTTTATTCAGGGTGCGCCAGAACTCGCGTCCCAGAGAAAAATTTTAAGTAAGATAAGATACCAGGAAATTGAAAAAAATGTTTAAAAAATTCAATCTGTCAAAAAAATTTGACTTTAATTTTTTGACATTTGATTTTTTTTATGTCTATTTAATGATACTGATGACCTTGTATATGTTTTTTTATAATTATTTAGTAGAGGTACAAAAATTTTGCCAATAAAAGCTACAAATAACATTGAACAAAGTTACAATTTAGGATACATCTTTCTTGTTTTTAACAAATTTTTATAGATATTTTTTTTAACATTTTTTCCATGTTCCTGGTATCTTACTTTATATGGCAGTTTTTTCTGGGGCGCGAGTTCTGGCGCATCCTGTATAAAACAGAATTATTAAAAAGAAGACGTATGTACGTAATAACGAGTAGTATTGTTTTAAGAGGACATTCGTTATTTTATTTTTATGTTGTTTTTTAGACACAAAAGTGCTCATCATTTAAATTTTAAACTTTGTCTATTTTAAAGTGATGTGACCCAAATATGCTGGTTCTATTTATTGATTTTTATGTCAACTAGTCTCAAGATTTGCGTTGGCAGTTCTCAAAGAAAAGTTTTCTTTATGCATATTGTACTTGTTCATCTAAGTAGCAATAATAGAACGACAGAAAAATTAAAAAGAACTCCTATTCTTCAGTCACAGAAACGTTATTATGCTCCTTGCAAAGTTAAAAATGTCTCTGAAACATTTACCAATATTTCTCTTCCTTCTAATTTATTTAACACTGGCAGTAACGTACGTAGTACTCTATTTTTAATTTTTTTATTTGATAAATTATTATTCAGCTTTTCAATTGCACTTCACTTCAAGCACATCACTTATATTTTGCCGTACATCAGCGATTCCGGAACTTATCCACCGGAAAGTTGCATATTTGGATTAATGTTGAATTTCATGGCAGCTTTAAGTGAATCTTTAAATCGTTGAAAAATTCAATTTCATCAATTTTATTTTAGTTGGTATCACAATGTATGTGAGATATCTACAAGTTAGAGAGATTATTAAGAAGCATAATTTTCCACATAAAACTCAAAAAATTAACAAAATCAGTTTATTTATCGGAATAAACGCTTGTATTGGATGCAGCATCGTTGCAAATTTTCAAGAAACGACAATGTTGTCAGTACATTGGATCGGTGCTATTATGTTATTTGTCTCAGGGGCAATATATCAAGGCTTTCAGGTTCATTTCAACCACATTTTAACAAAAATCAATTTCTTATTTCTCCAGACTGTGATTTATTTTAAAATATTGCCCGTTTTTGGCAACAGAAGATTAAATATCATCAGATCAATTGTTGCATTTGCTTCAAATTCATCAGTAATAATTTTTGTAATAAGTGGTTTAATTGCTAGTGACAACTTTAAGGGTAATTTTTTTAACAATTACAATAAGTTGAAATATAACTTTTTAGGGGATGATGTGACAAAATGGAAAAAAGAAGACGGTGGTTTTGAATTTCACCTCGTTAGTACCATCAGCGAATGGATTTGTGCTAATTGCACAATGATTTATTTATTGTTATTCGTGTGGGATTTTAAAAATATTGATTTGAGTGAACCTGAAATTTCTGTTCAAGATAATTTTGCTGTGGTTATTAAAACTGGTTAAATTACATTGTATCGTAATTTATTATTTTGAATGACGTTAAGTCCTGTGATTGTCGCTAATGTGGAGATAATATTATAGTACATTCATTTTAAATTATTTTAATTATTTACAATTACATTTTGCTTATTTTTCCTAATTAATAAACTTTGTATTTTGGATGTTAACCTTGAATGCATTACCAGATTTAAAACCGAAACTGCAACAGGTAGCTAGTCTGGTTATAACAATCACCCAGACGTGGTTCAGGAATATTGGCATCCATAAAAAATCAGGTTTTTGTGATAATTTTGATTAATTACGTAGAATTGTTAATTAGCATAGAGGTAAGTAGACACGCACATTTTTGTATTAATTCATCGAATTAATTTTAATTTGAATTAACGAAGATATTTTGAAACGACTTATTTTAATCTAAACTAAAAAAAGAAAACCAGCCCCGACTGTTTTCTTTGATGAGATTGTAAATTTCCGTAAAACCAAACAAATATTTTTTTTAGGTATGACTTATTGTCATTGGTCATAACCACAGGAGAATTGAAGTTAACGAACCTTCATTATTTTTTTGAGACAATACAATCAATACTAAGTAAATTTATTATAAGCCGCCAACTTATAAGGAAAAAATAATTCAGCATGCCATTAGAGGTGCATTGTCAATATCAGAGTAAAAAACTATGTTAATATTTGCAGTCGATATTACAAGTCATCGAGTTTTGTGGTAATGTTTATAGATTTCATATTAGAAAGAAACATTCTATAATTTCAGAGATCCTACTCGATAGTTACTGTCCAAACCGTTGAAAACTTAGTTACCACAGTTCAGTAGCAAAATATAGACTATAACAAACGCAACCCTTTTAGCAATAAATTTTTAATTTTAGAAAATAAAAAATGTTTACTTACGCTTATATTATCCCGATTTTATGCGCCGTTTGGTTTTTCCTGACTTTCATTGTAACGTGAGTATTAATTTTTTCTAGAGAAAAACAGAGTCCGAAATAATTTATTGCAGGTATATAATTTCTGTCTGCAAAAAGGATGTAACACCCGTTTTTCCATATATTAGCGATACTGGAACTTGGTCTCCAGAAAGTTGCATTTTCGGATTAATGTTAAATATTGGTGCTATAATACGTAAGTATTGCACTAGGGTCAATACTTGGTGCACTTAATCGTTACCACTCAGGGTCAAGCTTTGCATGAGTTTGAAACATTTTTAATTTCAGTTGTGTTAAGAATCTTAATTTTGATTTAATTATTTAAAAAATCAATGATAAGGTTTTAATTACGTTAATGGTTTACTAACATTACCGAAAATCATTTTGTTTTATTTGATTTATTTGTTTAATAAAAATAATCAATATTCTCGTCCATTATTGTTATTTGTTGAATATTTACTGTTTGAAACTGGTTCGAAAAGTCATTACTAATGTAAAATGGAAAAAAATCAATAATAATTTTACCGCTAATTGACTTTTGCGATACCTACGATCATAAAAAATCTGAGTTTATCTTAAAACTTTTTACTCTTGTAAAACACACACAAATACAAAGTATCAAAAAAGTAAAGTATTTCAAGTGTACCTACTAAAAAAAATTCAAGTTAAAACTCAACTAATGTCAGTCAATGTCATGGACTCAGAAGTGGGTAAAAGTTGAACCGGGTTTATAACATAAATGGAAACAAGTTAAATATAATAAACTGATGCTCCGTAAACGTTTATTTTATGAAAAAGGTAAAACCTAATAAAAAAGTGTTTTTTTTTCATTGTAGTTTTTCTGATTTTTAAATTAGTAAAATATACTAAATGGAAAAGTTATGAGAAAAGAAAAGTGTAACTAAGAATAAAAAAATACTTTCTAATAAAGTTAGCTTCTATTAATTAAAAACTTGTTGATTCTATGATGATTATAATTGCAAAAATCTTTTTTAGAGAGATTAATATATTAGGCTTTTTATTTTTTTTAATCGTTTGTCGTTATATGTATAATAAAAAATAGAAAAGCTGCAATGTTCTGAATACAAAAAAAAGAAAAGAAATTACATAAATTTACTTTCCTTGTACTATACTAAAAAATCTGGCAAAGAACGAATGTGCTCAGAAGTAAGAACTTGAAATTTTTGCTTATTTACTAGGAGGTCGTTAATTTCGCTTGGAATTTTAAATAAAACATGTTTTCAGAGGGTTTAATCATGTATATTCGTTACCGCCAATTAAGCCATTTGTTGAACAAAGACACGTCTTATCCTGAGACATTGGAGAAAAACAATCGGACATCGCTTATTTTGGGAATAACTGCTGCTTTTGGTGTTTGCATTGTTGCTAATTTCCAAGAAACAAATGCTTTTGAAGTGCACGTCTTTGGGGCTATTCTTGCTTTCGGTTTGGGGTCTGTGTATCAGTGCATGCAGGTATAGTTGTACGAACTTGAGGAGTTAAAAAATTATTTAAACCAACTTTTTCAGGCTCACATTTCATTTAAAGTTTATCCAAATCTGGGAAATAAGACGGTAAATATAGTACGAATCGTCTTTTCCGTCATCAGTTGTGTCACATTTCTGGTCACTTTTCTCTTCGCAGGAATGTCTCTTCTTCAATTTAGAGGTATTTCACCAATTTCGTGTTATATTTGTTTGCTATTTAAACACTAGAGACGGCGCTTCTTATTTTTGAAGTGCTCTTCTCAGTTATTGATTTAGATTAGGGAAGTTGTTCAGGAGCAGGACGAGTGAAGGCGCTGCTTGTTATTTTCCGAATAAAAATTATTTCATTTTGCTTATTTATAGGGGATGATCCTACGAAATGGACCAAAGATGATGGAGGCTATGTGGACCATTTTATAAGTGCCATTGCTGAATGGATTATGGCGGTTACGACTATTTTATTTTTGGCTCTTTATACATCAGAATTCAAGAAGATCTCCTTCACGGAACCTCCACTTATTGAAACGCAAGAAGCATAATTTTTATTTTAGATGAATTTTTGCCCATTTGAGTTAGCTTTATTTATTTTTTTTATTTTTGAACTTTATTTACATACAAATACTATACTTTACCAATTAAAAGTAGGTTGACATTTATGATTTACCTACGAATATTTTAAAAAAAATTGTTTAAGATGCTCAGTATTAAAACCTTTTTTTATTGTATAATAAACAAGTGACACTTTGGTAAATAACCACCTATTTTAATACGAGAGGTTTTGGAACGTTGCAAACTTAGAGAATCAATTTAATATTCATGTTTGATTATTTTTTATTAATGAATAGATCAATAAAAACATATTGTTTAATGCAATATTATTCATTCAAAATTGACATTTATTTTTTGACATTTGGCATTTTTTATGTCTATTTAATGATTCTGATGGTCTTGTATATTATTATTTAGTAAAGGTACATAAATTTGGCCAATAAAAGTCACAAATAATATTAAATAGAGTTACAATTTAGAATACAGCTTCACTTTTTTCTCTTCTAATAGCCTATAGGAAAAAAAAACTTGGATAATTATTTTTGAAACAGAAATAAATAGAATCAAAGTGCAAAATTTAAACTCTCATAACTTCTACACTTTTATAGATAGAATTTTTTTAACAGTTTTCCTATATTCTTGATTTCTTACCTTACATAGCATTTTTTTTGAGGCGCGAGTTCTGGCGCAGCCTGTATGTAAATAGAAAAATAATTGAATAAGATCTTTGAAAGGTTACAGAAAATCAATATTGCGACAAATAAAACATTATTTATATTTTTTCTAATTTCGTACAAAATTTGATTTTTTGATTGTCGTTGGATATTTTGTTTATTTTTGTAAAACTCATAAAGAAGGTATTTATAAAATGACATTTATTTTATACTTTATTTTTAAGACAATAAACAATTAGCTCTAATGAAAGCACATTGTATCCTTTTTAGTATAGAAGCTTTGTTTTTTAAGACGCCAAATATCCTGGTCCAGAAATTTAAGGGTATTTTGCATGTTTTTTAGATCTTTTTTAGTTGTTTACTTTTGAAAAAACAGCTAAATTTGTAGGATTCTAACCGTGTTTTTTAAAACGCCAAATGTCCTGGTTCAGAAGAAACATTTTACACCCTACTGATAAGTATTAGTAATTATTTTTAATTTAATTTGTTGCTTTCTAACTTTATTATTATGTCATAATGAAATAGTTTCAGAGTTAAAAAGAATTGTACAAACTCGTATTACTATTAGTATAGTTATGTGGCTTTATATTATTGTAAGGTAGAATTGATTTTTTTAGATAGGTATTTTAAATATGTATGCAAAATTGCCGACGTGCAATAAATACGCTTAAAGTATATGTTTTCTTTTTATTAATTTAAAGAAAATTATTCTACACCATCCAAACTTAGATTATAAAAAACTTCAAACACAATTAATGTTTTAATTATTTTGTTTATTCATCAATTGTAAAAGAGATTTCTTTAAACCGAACTAATTTAAATTCCACATAGTAAGTCGTTACAAATGCAGCCATAACAATGGCCATAATCCACTCAGAAAAAGTTGCAACTAAATGTAATTCATACCCGTCATCGTTATTACTCCACTTGAGTGCATTTTTTCCTGGAACATAAAAATTGAGACAATCAAATTTAAAAATTTCAACGTAGATACCATTAAACTTATTAAAAGCTAGAGTACTAGAAACAGAGGTTGACACGTAAGATGGTATGAGTAAGATGCTTAACAATATCCTCAAATATTTCAGAAATTTACTCGAGTATGAGAACCAAGTCAAATACGCCTGAAATGAAAAGTTTGTCAATCAATTTTCAAGCAATTTTTTTTTATGATAATTTGTTCGCAAAGTTCGGAACTTACGTGAATAATGCAATACACCGCCCCGACCCCAAATGCCATAAATGCTCCAATAAAATGAACGGTTATTTCCGACTTTTCTTGAAAGTTTGCCACTATACTAATTCCTAGACAAGAGAGAGAACCGAAAAGATTCGAACAACGGTTCAACACTTGGAAAGCTTTGAGATAGCGTCTCTGGGGGATCAATTGCAATGTTCTATATCTTACATACATTGTGATTAGCACTAAAATTCAGAGTTTTAACACGCCATATTTCACATCTAGTAACTAGTTACTAAAAACAGCCCCAAAATTTAACATTTGTCCAAAAATACAACTATCAGGAGGAACTGTGCCGGTATCACTAATATAAGGGAAAAATTTTACTACATGGTCGTTGTAAATTGCCACTAAATAGCTTGAAACAAAATTTAAGCATTTTCTTAATTGAAGTTTAATCAAAACTTACGATATTATAAACGTCAAAATAAACCAAAATCCGGTTAGTATCGGCCAATAATGAAGACGGAATCTGATTTCCATTTTTATTTATTTTGACGCATTATAGACAGAGATTCGACAATAATAGATGCGAAAATTTACTACATCAAATATTTAGGTATTGGTTATCTTTTATCTCGTATTTGTTTCAGATATATCAGGTGTAATTATGTCATGATGTGTTTCCACAAAACCGATTTATTTTTCAATTTCAATGGAATTATCTTATCATCAAAAAGACAATCTGGAGATGACAGACAATACTCGCATTTGTCATTGTCTCGATCATTTTTGTCTCAAACAAAAAATTTCTTTTATACTTTATTAACAGGCTTTTGATTAATTTTTAAAACTAATTTTGCGTATAAATACATTTTAATACAGAATTAATTCGAAATTAATGTATTTTGTAAATATAATTGCTTCAATCATAACTTTAGGCTGAAATAAAGCAATTTGTGATATGTTCAATCGATTTGGCTCAATTTTAAGTTGGGAATCAACCTAAATCAAAGTATTTCAACCAAATACTGTCTTTAATAAGAGTTATCTTCTAAAATAAAGCAATTTGAGCTATTTTCAATCCAATTTTGCTCGATTTTAATACAGAATTAATTCAAAACTAATGTATTTTATAAAAAGAACTGCTTATATTCCAATCTTAGCATAAATAAAGCAATTTGTGATATTTTCAAACGATTTGGCTCAATTTTAAGTTGGGAATCAACCTAAATCAAAGTATTTCAACCAAAATACTGGCTCTAATAACAGTTTTCTTCTAAAATAAAGCAATTTGAGCTATTTTCAATACAATTTTGCTCGATTTTAGTACAGAATTAAATCAAAACTAATGCATTTTATTAGTATAATTGCTTCAATCTTCATTTTAGGCTGAAATAAAGCAATTTGTGATATTTTGAATCGATTTGGCTCAATTTTAAATTGGGAATTAAGCTAAATCAAAGTATTTCAACCAAATACTTTCTCTAATAAGAGTTTTCTTTCAAAATAAAGCAATTTGAACTATTTTTAATCCAATTTTAATCGATTTTAAGCTGAAATAAAGCAATTTGTGATATTTTGAATCGATTTGGCTCAAT